GTAAACTAATGAAGTAGTGAAGCATTAAAGTAGTAACCTAATGAAGTAGTGAAGTATGAAGGTAGTAAAACAGTAAACTGGTAAAGTAACAAAATTTTAAAGTTACGAAATTGTATAATAATAAAGTAATAAACTAGTGTAGCAGTAAACTGGTCAAGGTAGTAAAATACTAAACTAATAAAACAGTGAACCAGTAAATCAGTAAACAACTGAGTCAGTGAACCAGTAAATTAACAACCATGTAAATTAGTAAACCAATAAATCCCTGAACCAGTAAACCATTAAACCATTAAACCACTAAACCAGTAAAACAGCAAAATAATAAACAAGTCCTTCAAAAAGAACTGACATCCCGATTCGATATATAAGAAATTTTTCAGGTGGCGAAACGCTGTTAAAAACGTTGGTACGCCTTCTTTTTATCCCGAGGACGAAGGTAGAAAAATAGCAGGGACAAAGGGAAAACAGGGAGCGAGTTGAAGAATTTGTGACAGTGTCGACAAGCTTCACAAAGGAATTATGTGCTTGAATGTCGGTAAATCTACATCACTGCCGGTGTTTCTCGAGTTTTGCTGTCGTATTTTGTGTACATAGAACGCGAAGCACGGACCGTGTCGAGCGTTTTTTAAGAATCTTACGAATTGTTCGCTTTTAGAACGATCCACGATATTCTGAAGATTTACTTAGCCGGAAAAGAAGATTTGCATTTCCATTGAAATAGAAAAATGTGCAATTGCACGTACGATAAAGCTTTTAAGTAGACTAAAAATCTGTTATCCGACGGTTTCTTCCCCCTGCTGCGTCTTTAATTAAACAACTAAACGCTATCCTTCTGAACCTTTGTGCATGTAATTCACGTCGTAAAGCTTCGAAGGGAAAAATTAATTGTCCTCGTACTTTCTTGACAAAAACCTCCATTATTTTTCCGTTTCGATTGAACTCCGCTATACGGAAATTTACGGAAAAATATTTTAATGCGACAGATTGAAACTTGTAAACATATTTTAATAATACAGTCGGTATTTAATTTTTTCGCGAGAAATTGTTTTCAAACACGTAAAATTTTTACTCGGCAAAGCTTCTTTCAAACGTTTCCTTCCTGATATTTGCTTACAGTTGCTGAATTCCTGCACGTTAATGAAAATCGTGCTATTAATTACAATTTTTCGCAATGCGCCGCACCGTAATTAATTAAAAAGAGAACGGAGTCTGCGCGCTAGTTACACGCTCAAACAATGCATTACATTTTCGAGAAACGTTTCATCGCGAACGTGAACCCGTCACGAAGAAAGCGAGCATTTAGGCTACGCTCTAGAAATGGTATTTAACACCCGTTAAATACAGCGGGTTTAAACGTGGCTGAGAAATATTTCTTCTTCTCGAATACGAATCTTGCTTAAAGAACGCGTTGTACGTACCTGGCAGAAAAAAACTGAAACTTTCGTTTCAAAAGATGTGGAAAAATTTGTTCGTTGCAGTGTAAATCTTGGGAACTTTTAAATTAAATTTAACAAATCAAATAATATGGAAGTGTAACACTTTTTAATGATACCATCTCGTTTCATTCTTCGCGATTACTATGTTCCGCGAATTCAAGAATTTTAATCAAAAATATTGCTATCATTCATCGAAAAACTGTGCAAAGAATATACGGCAAATGGTAAAACAGCTTTTCAACTCGTTAACGAAAGGAAGCGAAAACATGGAGTAAAAGTTTCAATTAAAGTAAATAAACGCGCAGTAAATTGATTTGAGTATCCGACTCAAATTTTGGTATTTTATATTTTCAGCGAAATAACGCGCAATCAAACGATGCACAAGAAACAAAATTAAATGTACCTATCTGATTAAATGTGGCATATTCAAACTTTGATATTTTATATTTCGAATGAAATAACGCTACATTCAAACGAAGCTCAAGAAGAATTAAAATTAAATGTACCTACAGTGAATGTGGTGTATTCAAACTCTGGCAGTTTATATTTTGTCAAAACAACGATACACGCAGATTTAAACAAAGCATAACAAGAAATGGAATTAAATGTACCTGTCTGATTAAACTCTGTCTGCTGAAATTTTGTCATTTTATATTTTCATTTATATAACGTCGGGCAGAGGATAAGAAAAATTAAATGTACCTATTAGAGATGTACTTAAATTTTACAGCCAGTGTTTTAAACAAAAACACTTTCGAACAAAAGCAAGAAATAAAATTAACCCTTTGTCAAGTGTGGCTCGATGTCACATTTCTCAGGGATCTTATAAATAATTCAGATAAACAGACTCGTTGAATAAATTTTCATTTATTTACTCCTTATAATAAATGAAAAATATATTTGTCATACACCTTACATTGTTCTGATTTTATTGAGAAGCCCGATTTGATTTATTTTACGTGGGTGAAAAATTTGTATCAGAAGTTCGTAAAAAAAATTTGGACGTATCAGAATAGAGTTTATAAGAAAAATTTGGGCATAGATGGTTGATAAGAAGAATTTGTGTTATCAGAAGGTGGCGCTTATGATCGAGTTGATCGGTATCCCCGTTGGGATTCGAGATCACGCTCTGTTTCGCGTCAAACGATAACCTCGAAATCGTTTGGCCGCGTGCTCGAGCAACGAGGATGAGAAAGGGGGTTGGAGATAGAAGGGTGGCGAGGCGAAGGAGCCAGCCTTCGGAGCTGGAGGACAAGATAGAAGAGAAAAAACATCGAGCAGAAACGAGTCGAAAAGAGAGAGATGGCCCCTTCTCGGCCCTATTAAAAAGCCCGTTTCTGCCTCCGTTTCTGAAAGCCTCTTACGGCACTCGAGGCAACTGCGAAAGCACTTGAAAGCTCCTGAAAAGCCCGACAACACTTCCCTGGTTGAGTGCCGCGTCCCGCCAGGAGGCCGCTGCGACTTCGCACCCTGTCACCGAGACACGGACCTACTGCGAGAGCCCCTCTGTGTGTCGCAATATCGCCACTATCCTATGTATTAAACATCGACTGCCCAACCCTCACCCTTCCACCCCCTCGATGGTGTAGCCACCACCCTCCCTACTATACCGTGGAATCTCTCTCGGACAGACTTCGACCGCGCAACCCTTCCACCGATACGCGACATGCTGCGACTAAAGCTGCTAGAAAGAACTTTATTTCTCATTGCCTACGATTCGCTACTGAAACTGGTATTTAAAATTCAGGTTGCAATATGCAGGTTGCAAAATTCACAGGTATTCTAAAATTTACGAGTCTGTTTCTTATATTAGAATTCGTATAATCAGTGTACTGTTGACAACACGTTGGCTAGTGAAGATGTGGTTTCAATTGATTAGGACAGGACACGTACGAACTTTTGGGGGTAGAACGATTGGCTCGAAGGATTACACTAATTGTAAGTGTGATGGACATACTATAAATTGGGACAAAACACAATGTAGACGAAGTTCACATTGGGAGACTGAAATTTCCATCTTGTTAATCTAAAATTCCAAATTGCTAGCTTGAAAGTTACAAGTTTAATTCTTGATTTAAAAAAACTGTCAAGAGACAACGATCATAGCAGTCGAGGCCTTTATAAAATCAATCAATCAATCAATAAAAAAATTGTCGACTCTCCATCTTAACTTCTCACAAAAATTTTTAATTTTCAGAAGTGAGCCCATTTGCAACTACCACGCTAGGAAAGTGACCTTCTAAACAATTGAGATTCGTTAAAAATCATCTAAGAGACGACAGTCCCGATAAGTGTCCGTGTTTCTCGTCGCTAACGAAAGAGCGAAGAGGGGCGCTGAAAGATCGAAAGAGCAGTGGCGAGGAGCAAAAGGAAGGGAAGGAAAAAGGTGTAAGAGAAGCAAAAGGGACAGAAGGCGGCGGTAATCTGCGTGTTGAAGCGTTCTCGGTCCGGAGATAACGGGAACATACATAATGCAGTGTTTCTTCTGTGGACGACCACCAATCGGCGACGGCCTTAAGCGAAAATGGGCCAATGGCTCCTCGCGCGAGAAGCTTTTCCCACCCGTAGCCTTATTACAATACATTAGAATATCGCCGTGGCCGTCTGACTTGCTGCACGAAAGGTATGAAAAGGAAAAGGAAACGTGACTACAAGGTGATTTCGCCACTGTCGACGGAAAGTGTCCTCGCGTGCCGACGCTTTGTTTATCCAACGATCCGAGAAAAATCCTCTTCGTTTTCTTACTTTCGAGTTAAGTGTCGATACAAACGACTATAGGATGTCTCTAGGTAACTAGCTCCGAGGGTTGTAGATTAGGTGATTATGAACAACTTCTTTCTTTATGAAAGTCAAGTTTGAAGCTTCGTTTTTGAGCTACTAGTAAAACACACTAGCTAATATGCTATTGTATGGAATATGAAAATATGTGAATCGAATAACTTATACTACGTTAAGCATCTTCTGAATAAGAAAGACTATGTTGTACTCGAGTGTACCTTTTCAAGCTATGTCAAATGTCAAATGTACCTTCACAGCCATATCATAAAATATTGTATCAACCCATACCTATTTATTCTATTCATTTTATAATCATGTCAAATTGCGTACGAATTGAAAGATATCCTTTACAGAACTGTATTTGAAGAGTGTCTCGTCAACGAACTTGCAGACACCAAACCTACTAGCTAACCTAGTAGCTAATAGCTAACCCAACCGCAAGGATCGTTCGATCATCAAACGCGTAAAATACGAAACGTTGTCTTTGAAGGGAGGTTGGCTAAATGAAACAATTCCTGAAATTCTTCGCGACTTCCATCGTTGGAGGGTCGGTTAATTTCTGGAGCCGTAGGGGACCGATGGTGTTTGAACGGGAGCCTCGCTTAATCTGGCGCAGTTTAGACAATTTAACGCGGTTAGCCGGTTAGCGTCAAACATAACCTCGCCACTTGGCCGGGTGTAAAGAATGGCGGGCGTAATGTCGGTCCACGCACGGTTTCACGACGAGGGAGAGAAAGATAAGCGGTGGTGCGCGTTCACCGTACAGAGAAGAGGCAATGTGCTTACCGGTTACCGAAGCGGAAGGAAGCGTAGAGGGGTTGCTCGGCGCCGGAATAACCCAGCTCTTTAATTTAAAGCCGCCGGACAGTAATTAAAATAACCACCCCCGGACACATACTCCTCGAAGCGGTGCCCAACTCGTCCAAGACACTCGAGCCTCTCCAGAGATCAGCTCGCGACCAACCTGTAACAGAAAAGACGAAAACGTTGTAGAGAACCCGTGTACGAACTGGGTTTCGGTTCTAAGCGATATTGGGTAACTTCGGATGGGATATTAGACACCGGCGGGTATTAGGTCAGTCCATAAATTCGGGGATGCTCAGACATTTTCTAATGTGCATATATATTTTTATCTGAGCACTAATCCTACCAGCATATAATATGTACTTCATTTTAGAATGAAATTAAAAATGAAGTTACAAAATAAATAAATAAATGAAGCATAAATTAGTACACACATTTATTCTTTATTTTGATGAAAATCAATTCTGATTTCATAAAATGTATTTTAATAAAATGCGTACCTTATAATAAGAAATTAAACCTACCAGCATATAATGTGTACTTTATTTGAAATTAAAAATGAAGTTAAAAAATAAATAAACAAATGAAGCATAAATTAGTACACACATTTATTCTTTATCTTGATGAAAATCAATTCTGATTTCATAAAATATATTTTAACAAAATGTGTGCCTTATAATAAAAAACTAAACCTACCAGCATATAATGTGTACTTTATTTGAAATTAAAAATGAAGTTAAAAAATAAATAAACAAATGAAGCATAAATTAGTACACACATTTATTCTTTATCTTGATGAAAATCAATTCTGATTTCATAAAATGTATTTTAACAAAATGTATACCTTATAATAAGAAACTTGTGGAGCGGTCATTTGACCGGTTTGGTAGTTTTAGTGTTAAGAGCTATGACTAGGAACAGTTATAATGCTGGAGATAATTTACTTATCAAGTGTGTCAGTCAGAACTAAATATTTAGGTCTACGATATTAAAACAAATAAGGAAAGTGTAAATGTTTTGTGTCATTTCCTATTCAGTGATCTCTGCAAATTTTATTTGGCCTCAAACTTCAAATTGAAACATAATGAAAATTCAATTAAAATTCGTCATATTTTATCAGTGAGTCACGTGTCAAAGTTGTCAAAGTACGAGGTTAAATGAAAATGTTAAGTGTGGAGGAAATAGGAAACCATGAAATAAATGAATTCCCAATTAGATCTCCAGATTCATAAATTTCTAAACATCGCAAACTTATAAATTACCAACATCCTAATTTAAAATTTCACCACCACAATTTTACGAACGATAAATGACCCCAGCAAGAAAAGTTAACCGTAAAACATTTGAACGTCCATGTAACAATAATCGTCGGAGGTTTCATTTGTCGCGACAAGGTCCATTTACAAACCGCTAACAATCCCGTCGTTGAAAGATCGAAAATCCTTATAACTCGTTCGTTAATTTAAAACCGTACAATTTACCCAGGAGTTTCTACATTTCCGTAGTATTTCAATAACAGCTCAGACGTATTTCTGCTGTTCCGGCCGCAGAATTATGTTACTCAGTTAGCAGCCAGCCGGACGGCCAGCACGAAGAACAGCAGCCCGATAATTACTCGCTTTCGAGTAATTTGTAATATACATCCCCTTAAATAATATGTATTTTCTTAATGAGCGCGTTACATTATACGGAACAGGGTGGAACGGAGTTAATGCCGGCGGTGGAGCTCAACGTTTCTCTCCGGGGTGGCTTCTGGTTGGCCGATCCACCGAGCTGAAAGGTCAGACGCGCGTCGGTTTAAAGATTGAAAATCCGATTTAACCGGTCGCGTCGCGTACTAGGTGTAATTTTCGTGCGACGGCGCGAAATCGAGAAGGAAATTACGAGGAGAGAGCGCGTTTATTCGGATCCGGACGATTTAACGATCTCCAGCGTTGTCCGAACTCGATTTCCAGCCACCGGTATCGAATATCCGCGACACGTCCGCGTAACGCGGCCTGCTCGTTGCATATTTTAGTAACCGTGTATCGTGTTGTTGGATCACCGCCATTCCGAATCAGCTGCTTCCAAGTACTAGTAGCCTTGGAATTAAATTTAGCCGCACAATGTGATGGCCGATGGAGAGATCGGTATCAAATTGCGGGTAATAACGGAAATATAAGAATGGTGTTACGCGTGGGCTCCGCGTAATATACCCATTACACATCTCCAGTAATATCGTTTAATCATTCTGCCAGCGAACATCCTTGCAGGAGCTTACAAATCTTTCTACGAGCTAATTTATACGTCGGCTAATTATTTCGCGAGAAACAGAAATAATTTCATTACACGCTCAAAGACCAAGAGTGTGCAAAACTGGAGGATCGTCGGAGCGATCGATCAAGTCGGGAATAAAATAGGTGCTCAGGTTTGACGAATCGACGGTCAAAGCGTTAATATATCGGAAGCTAGGAATAAAATTTCGCAAGTTATCGGCAGGAGCGTAGGAAGGTGGGGATTGGTCCGCTAACGTATCGGGCAGCGGCACGTTTCGAGTGCAATCGTAGGTTGGAAAAAGCGTCGATATAACGTAGGCACTCAGGCGTTGGTGGCGTGGTCGAGTTCCGATACATACCAGGTGTTACGATAAATTTAAACGATATTTTATTCAGGCGGGCCGATCTCTAGTTTTCAATTTGCCGGCTCGTATATATTTCGCGGAGGTCGGTCTGCCGAAGATATGTTAGAGCGAGAAGGAGAACCGACTGCTGGCCCTACAGATGCAATTTCTTCGGCTGGCTTGCTCCGTCTCGTCCGTCTGGACCCTCTTTGGCCCGTTCCTTCCGTGGCTTGATGAAAAAATAATAATCCCGAGGGAACGGTCAGTTATGGGGAATGAAATCATCCCGGCACCGTTCGTGCTCGCCCTATCGAAACCGTGCTACACGCCCTGCCTTTGTCTTCCCTCTTACGGCCGAATCTTTGTCTATCCTTGGCTTGGATTCGACAACTGACCAAACGGTAATTCTATCGAATACCATGCTAAAATTCCGGCCAACTCGAATCGAATTTACTTTTCGAATGCTTCCAATGCTTCGGGGAGTAATGGATTGCTTTGTGACTACTTCTGTCAGTTTTGACGTTAACGTAGGGCGAACAGCCACCTGCTTGGATCTGCGATTCAGCTCCCAGATCTTCTAGTATGTACTTTCTAGTTTTCGAATTTTTCAGGATGATTTTCGAGTCTTTCACATGTGTTTCAAATGTGTAATTTTTTAATTTGTTAGTTTTTATGTTGGCAAATTTTTAGGGGAATTTTTGAATCTATTTTGCAACTTCATTTTTAATTTTAAATTAAGTCTTCATTGTACTGGTAGGTTCAGTAATTTATATGATTTTATGTTTAGTCTATTCATTTTTCGACTTCATTTTTAATTTTAAATTAAGTCCTCGTATGCTGGTACGTTCAGTGACTTACATGATTGGATGTGTAGTTGTATATTTATTTTTCAACCTCATTTTCAATTTCAAATTAAGTCCTCATATGTTGGTACGTTCAGTGACTTACATGGTTGCATGTGTAGTTGTATATTTATTTTTCGACTTCATTTTTAATTTCAAATTAAGTCCTCATTATAATGGTAGGTTCAGTGACTTACACAATTGTATACGTAGTTGTTTATTTATTTTTCAACTCCATTTTTAATTTCAAATTAAGTTCTCATTATAATGGTAGGTTTAGTGATTTACATGATTGTATACAGTAGTTGTCTATTTATTTTTTAACTTCATTTTTAGTTTCAAATTAAGTCCTCATTATAATGGTAGGTTCAGTGACTTACACAATTGTATACGTAGTTGTTTATTTATTTTTTAACTTCATTTTTAGTTTCAAATTAAGTCCTCATTATAATGGTAGGTTCAGTGACTTACATGATTGTATATGTAGTTGTCTATTTATTTTTGAACTTCATTTTCAATTTCAAATTAAAGTTCTCATTATAATGGTAGGTTTAGTGATTTACATGATTGTATGTGTAGTCGTCTATTTATTTTTCAACTTCATTTTTAATTTCAACTTAAGTATACATTATATGTCGGTAGGTTTAAACTTAATTTTCAAGAAGAATTTGTACCAACCTAATTAATATAACGATACTCGTGATGACATCATTCCACTGACGCAATCACAAAGCAGTCCACCATTAAACAGCCTTCTGATTGCATCAGAATGAAATCGCCTGTTATTTTTAACTACAGAATCTTCCTTTGGTCGGTGTACTCGTTAATCGAATTGCTTCAAATATTTATGCAAGCAAACTTTTATTTGCACCGTCGTGTTCGCGCCAGGTCAAACCGATAAAACGTGTAAAAATAACGAGTGTTTGTATCGAAGATCCGCGGCAGAAGAACTAGGGAGAGAAAAATGGCGGCGAGTCTATAGCACGTTCCTAGAATCTTGAACGACAAATTCGTGGAATTCGTTGTATTACCGACGTACCATTCCGAGGGTAGCAATTTATAGCAGTTTGCGCCGAAGTCTAGGACAATTTGCATACTACATGCATCATCCTAATTATGCGAACTTCTGGAAGCTTGGCTGAACTTAAAGCGGTAGGGTCGCGCCATCTTCGACGAGTCGAGCCCCGTCAGAATCGAGCGCTACGTAATCTGATTAATGACTTAGATTATAAATATTATTTTTAATTATAAAACGCTCATTTTATACACGAAAGTGTAAAAGCTGATGTTAAACTTGAAAATTGTGCTACAACTTGAATGTTGTTACTAATATTCTATGCTGATTTATTCAACTTGAAGATTGAATAAATTAGACAAAAATTACTACGAATAATTATTACTGAGTTGAATAAAATTTAACTTGAAGGTCCAATAAATTAGACAAAAATTATTACGAGTAATTATTGAGTTGAATAAAATTTACCTTGAAGATCAAATAAATTAGACAAAAATTACTACAAGTAATTACTGAGTCAAATAAAATTTACCTTGAAGATCAAATAAATTAGACAAAAATAACTACGAGTAATTATTGACCTGAATAAAGTTTAACACAAAGGTCAAATAAATTAGACAAGAATGACTACGTCTCGTTCGTTATAAATGTTTGAAAATTGTCTGAGAAGTTGAATTAGATATCGTGTAAGAGGTATTGCGTGC